ATACACACACACATACATATCAGTTTTAGCTGGGTTTGCTCTGCAGAGAGGCGAGGCCTGGACCTCTTCATCAAAGGGGAAGAGAGGAAATCCTCCGCTGTGGATGCGATTGCCTGGTACAGGAGGGATTCAGGGAGTTTCGGGCTTACTGTCAGGTCTCTTTGCTTTTTTCATTTCTTGGGCTTAAGGTTTCGGGGAGTTTCGGACTTGGGGCTTAGTAAGGGCTGTTGAGCGTGTTGGGCAGCTCAACAGATGGGGGGGGGGGGGGGGGCTGTTGGGGGAGCTTCGGATCCAGGGCTTAGGTTTAGGGCTTCGGATTCAGGGCTGATGATGAGAGCGGCGGCAAGCTTATATCAGCAAGGGTTTGCGGTTCAGATGTCACTGGAAAAGGATTCTGGGTAGATTGAATGAAAAGTCGTACCATGATATTAAGGAACAGGGAATGGTATTGCCGATGTTTTCAGTCGTCTTCTGTATCATGTATGTCCACAGCCAACCGTAGGGGGTCCGCTCGCACTGACCAATTTAGCACCGCATGTCTTGCTTCTGGGGTCCTTCACTTCTTGAGGAATTAAAGGAAGTCTCTCGCGAGAGCCACCGCAGCATATTTGCTTGAATCCTCCATGACGAACAGGGGCATTGGCAGAATCTTGAACAGAAAGAAGCACGAACCTGATCCCCGCAGGAAATAGAACATAAATTAACCCTTGAACTCTTGAGCCAAGAGACTCAGCTTCTTGTAGAAACCCATCATAAAAGCATCCTCGCAGTTGGGGCTTATGGGCGCCGCCGGCAGAAGTAGCTTCCTGCGTAGCATTGCATGGAGGGCGTCCTACCGTAGTGAATAGAACTCAAACTTCAGCTGTGCGAGCTTCGGGGATTGGGGCTCAAAACTCCATCCCATGGTGAAGCTATGTCGACAGTAGCCAGTAGCAACCACCGCAAGCGCAAAATCCAATGCAAACGAATCTTCTTGATCGAAGCCTTTTACAATCGAAACCTCAAAACTATATAAGTTATGCAAAGCCAAAGGCCCAAAGCTCTAGAAACTCTCTGAGCCTTCCCCGTAGCCACAAGCGAAACATGCAGCACGGTACTGTTGCACCCAGGACTCCCTAACAAAACCAAGTCACTCTGTATATGCTTAGCTACCACCTAGGACCTAGGTGATACCGCTGTGCACTGAAGCAGTTGGGATGGTTCACTGCTCCGGCTGCCCCACATCTGAGCTGTGATGATGGCACCAGTCACCAGAACTCCGAAGGCAAGACGACAATCTTACAGTAGCCGTATAGTAGCATTATAATACCTTTTGACTGTCTTCTAGATTCTAGCACCTTTAGAAACATTGTACCCCCAATCCCGAAACCGCGGCAGGGGCCTTTGGACCAAGGGCTCCAAGTACTCCCGGACGTCCAGTAACTCAGCGGCTGCTATCAGCTCCAGCTTTCGCAGGGCCTCGCAAAAAGGGTCTGGCTATTCCGTAGGGTTCCTTAATGCAGTCCTGTGAGGGCTCTCTACGGGTTCTCGGGGTTTAGGACATTATTATAGGTTCATGAGAAGACAGCTGTACAGCTAAACACTGAACGCGCTTTCAAGGATTCCAACAGCCCCTGGTTCGTCATTCGGGGCATGCTGCTCTGCGCCCATCTTGGTGATGGCTTACCTACACGGAGCACTCAAACCGTCTGTCATGCAAAACAAACGTCACACCAAACCAACCTGTGGAGCCGAAAAGCTTGGCGCGACGTCGCGAGAAATCCCGTGGCTTGGAACACCGGCGTGTCCGGTGTAATGCCTGGACAACAGACGTTCCTAGGGCGGAGAGATCAAAGAGGTGAGTCGAGTCTTGCAAGCCGGGGTTTGGGTAGAGTTTTAATTTGCAGGATCGAGGTCCTTTACCTAAGTGTGGCCTTTGAGGTTCAACTTCGAGCTCTTCGGCAGTGGTGGCCATATATGCACCACAGACCAACACTGGGTGTCCTAATTTAGGCTTTAGAAGCTCGGGGAGTGCGGCAAACTTCCAAGAAAAACCTCAAACACAGATGGTTGATGCTGGGAATTCTCTGCAGCTTATATTAAACACGATGATGAAAGCAGTAGCCGCAAACTCTCAAATCTGCTAGACGACACGTATGCCATGAACCAGACAAAAGTGAGTCTCCAAGCCAAGCTCTTGATGCAAGCGGACGGCAGCAAACGGAAACCAGACTAGCCCCAACATTCGCACAGCAGAAGTAGGCCGCAGGCACGGATTTCAAGTAAGTTTTGCAGTGCAGTTCGGATGAGGAGGCATATCCCTGTGCTCTGCTCGCCACTTTGCTTTCGCAAGTCTTGCGTACGAGTTGCGCAGTCTGCCTTATTACGGTGCAACAGTTGAGACGCACACATGCATGCCCGCTCTCTGACAGTCTCCACAGGTGCTTGAACTGGGCGACGGCGGAAAACAGACTGGTTGCGTCTCGGTGCTTGGGAATGATGTGGGCTTCTCGGGAACTTGACCCTTTACAGAAGTGCAAACATCAAGCGATGACAGCCAGGCCTGTGAGAACCTCCTGGGCAGTAAGCAAAGGGAAGTCGGCAGAATCGCATGCCGCCAACGAGAGAAAGACAGCCTGACGTGGAGCAATGTCAACTGCGGTTCCCGATGCGGGGGTGGGCTCTTGTTTACGACTGTCAGCTTAAGTTAGCTGATCTGTCATAGACTCATAGTCATAGACATGATACCCTAAACCCTAAACCCTAAACTATATGAGCCGACACCATGGAGAGCAGTTGTGGATGTTTCCTGGATCCCAAAGCAAAAAACACCGGGTCTTCCGCAAGACTTGGAACCTTAACAAAGGGGCGCTGGTCTTCAACACTCAAAGATAACGACCACAATCTCTTGATATGTTATGTTATACTGACTTAGTTTCTTATTCTTTGTAGGACACTGCCAGCAATGAGCCAGCTCCACTACATGATGCTTGCAGCAGGTTAATACGATCGAACCGTGAAGACCATCTGAACAGTCGTATCTGTGACATCGACACAGACCCGCGGCTCCAAGTGCCTGCAGCAACAGGCGAACTCCGTCTCTATTTCGGCGATTGCTTCCTGAGAATGCAGAAACAAAGTCAGACGGTCAGAAGCAGATTTCCCTTGCAGTTTGTATTTCCCGAATTTAACACTCAAAACGATAAGCTTCTGGAGTGCTTGGGGAACCATGGTTTTAGCTGTTATCCTATGCACTGAGTAGAGCGGTCAAAAGAACACCGCCCCACCAAATCAGGCCACCCCACGGGCGATAAAGAGGTGTCGTCACACATCATAAGATGTGCAAGTGTAGGAAAGCGGGGAACGAACAAATTCAATGTTGCTGGTTGTCACATTTCCGTCCAATCGTTTCGCAGCAAGTAGTCCCAGTCTGTGTCGCAAGCACGCGCCACTTCCGCACACCGTCGACATTTACATGCCATCATCACCAGCTGGATCATCATAATCTACCTCTTCGTGGCTTTTATATTTCATCATCATCCACATCAGCTTGAGAACCATGTACTGGTCATTTCCCGCTGAAGATCATCACTGTTGCGTTTGGCATCTTGAATACACATTATAGTCATTATCAGCAGTATTGCCTCGGCTGCGTTGCCCGCGTCAAAAAATAGCATTGATCATTATGAGGTAGTCACGGCTACTTCGTTGTCATTTCTGCGATGACGGTATGAAGCATGATTACCAGTTTCGTGAGCAGCCTCGAGCAATAGCATGCAGTCGAACCGACCATTGGTGGCTAGTGATGGCAAAGAGAACCCGAAGCTCTCAAAGTCTTAGTCCCAAGCTCGTAACCCTCAGCGCCACAAAAAGTTCTTCAAGGATGCGGGTGTGTTTTGATCTTTCTATTTACTTCTATCTACAAATAAGTAAACAAAATAAATAAAAAATGTATGTATATATATAAATATATAT